CAAATTTTTGTGATATTAAAGCTTTTCAACAAAGCCAGAAAAAATCAGAAGCACTTGGAAATCCAAAGTAAATTTCATATTCTCTTAAATTTTCGAAATTAATTTTTGTTTTAATTTACAGCAATTTTTATACCCGTGCGAACGTATGTTCGAAGGGTATACTAAATTTTCCTTACCGATTGTAACGTTGAGAAATAACGGTCTTAGATATAGACTCAAGTGTATGTTTTTGATCAGCGTCGAATTTTGAGTTGATTTAGCTTTGTCTGTCCGTCCGTCCGCCCGTCCGTCCATCCCAACGATAACTCGAAAACTAATAGAGCTAAGTTCACCAAATTTTCATAAATGATTTACTGTAGTAAGTGCCAGAACCCTGTTTAAGTTGGACATGATCGAGATACCGGTTCGGGTAGCTGCCATACAACTTCAAAATTTATTTGGCTATATCTCAGAAACTATAAAAGCTGTGGTATTGAAATTTCGCACAAACGAATATATTAGAGGGGCCAATATGTCTGATAAAAGTCGTTGAAATTACTTGGCTCTTTCTGGTACTTGCCATACAACTTCAAAAGTTATTTGACTATATCTCAGAAACTGTAAAAGCTATTGTATTGAAATTTCACACAAACGAATATATTAGTAGGGCCAATATGTCTGATAAAAGTCGTTGAAATTACTTGGCTCCTTCTGGTACCTGCCATACAACTTCAAAAGTTGTTTGACTATATCTCAGAAACTATAAAAGCTGTAATATTGATATTTTACACAAGCGAATATATTAGTAGGGCCGATGTGCTTGAAAAAATTCGTTAAAATACTTTGTCTCTTTCAACTTCAATAGTAGTTTGGCACACACAGTATTTTGAAAAACATTACTGAAATTTTGCATAAATTAATATGGTAACACGCCAACTTAAAGTCATTGTCTGTTCCATAGTCAGTTATGACTTATTTATTCGCACGTAGGATAACCAATTCGTACGGGTATCACAGAGTTGACAAGGTCAACTCTATTTTTTCTCGTTCATCAGTAAATTTCTTAATATTTTCAATAGAATTTCAATAGAATAAAACTACTACAAATTTTTAATTAAAATTTATTTGAATTTAAAGAATTTTATTATTGCAAAAATCATTGCATTTGGCTCTTTTCAAAAATCTCCTGAATAAAAAACAAAATGTCCTTGTAAAGGTAACAAATTTAATATTGTAAAACGTTCCCATTTTGCATATCTTTAGTTTTATTTATTTATTTATGTGCCAACTGGAAAAATTTGCTTTAAAAATTCTTATGAGCAATAAAAAACAAAAATGTACTAAAAATTTCAAGGATTTTGTCATTTTTAATTGCAATAAACAAAATGACCGTCTCTTACGAAAATGACCTTGAATATTAATATTATGGAAATTTGTCTAAATATACCTTATGTTTTACGTAGGTAGGTACCACCTTTTTTTATGGTAGTTACATAAAATATAAAAATATTTTTATTGGACTAAAAAAAATAAATACAAAAAATTTGCAACACTGGTTGGCTATAAAGTTTTTTAGTTATATACGAAAAAAATGTTCCAAGAAAAAAATTTAAAACTTGTGACATATTTTTTTCCATCACTACAATAAAAGGACGCTTATGCATTTTGCACTATTTTTTTTTGCTTCTTAATTTTGTGCACATTTCTTGTCTGCCATGAAATTTCTTCTTCTTTTCTAACTTTCTTAAATTTCGTGAACTTATGAGATTTTTATGTCTTCAATTTGAGAAATAAATTTTGTTTTTTTGCTAAATCCTGAAAGTTGGAAAAGAATTTTTTAGTAAGATTTTATTTCAATTTTGGGTATTTTGCATTTTTTGAGGAAAAAAAACAAAGTTTAAAATCATGAGATTATTCTAAACATGAAATGAGAGCGAACACTATATGTTTCTAAAAATGTGCTTGTATAGTCTGTCCATTCGCTGGTACGTGCAATAACTTCAAAATGAGATACGAATACAATGGAAACTTGAGGAATAATATGGAAAACAAATTTTGTTGTTCAAGAAAATGGAATAGATTTATCGTTCTAATACTTTTAACAATTTTATTTTAGGAAAATATTTTGTAAAATTAAAATTTTTCCATAAAATGTTTCTAAGAATTTCATAATAAGTGTGAAATATTTTTGTAAGAAATTTAATTGTGCGAAAGAAAATTTAAAATTTGCAATTTTTAAAAGTCTTCAAGAAATTTTCCAATGTACATTTAAAATGAAATTTAAAATTTGATTTTTCAGTTTCAGGACAAAGCAATTTTTTTAAGTGCTCTTAAATTTTCCGGTGAAATACTCATTTGTTTTTCAGAAAATGCCACCATATTCCAATACTTTACATTCCACAACGCAAAAATTAAAAAAAATTCTCATTTTAATAATTTTTTAAAAAAATTTTTCTCAAAATTTGGTTTTAGTAATCATTCGAAACCACGTCTTGAGCTTTTTTCAAGTTGATAATGTAAGTGTTTAAAAACTTTCGATCTAATTCTAAAAACTTTAATTATTTATGTAGGTAAGTTTAAAACACTGCAGAAACTCTTAAATATCATCTTTACTTATGCTCTACATTCTACAAACAGTAATTACACCAGATGGTGCTACATGTATTTAAAGAGATATTTTTTCTCTTACTAAAGAGAATTTTTATCAAAAGCATAAAATTAATGTGATAATTGAGATTTGTTTTTTTTTTTTTATTTGAAACTCAAAGAAATTGTAAAATTTGCAAAAAAACGAACCAAAAATAAAAGCAATTATTTTTTCTTCAGAAGAGCCAAAAATAAATTGTCGAGTTGTTAATGCGGCGGATTTACAAGTTAATTTTAAAAGGAAAAAGAAAATTAAAATTTCAAAAACATTAAACATTGAATTGAACATTTTCAATTTTATATATACATACATGCGTCTGTATACTGTGTATGTGTGTACTTATAATTTTCGTAAGAAAAAATGCGGTAATAACAAAATCATCATAAAGTTTGTCTTTACTGTAAAGCAATTGCAAATTAACATAAAAAATGTTCAAAAATTAAATTGAATTAACAGAAATTAAAGCGTAATTATTTTTTATAATTTAATGTTTATGAAATTTTCTTTAGTCCGGGATATTAGTGTTCATATGTATATATTCTGGCAAAGCAACACAATTAGATCTTGTGAATTGTTAAAATCACACTGATTAAAATTAAAATTTCGTATTATGCCGGACTATTTTAGAGTATTTTTAAATTGATTTTTGTTGCTATTTAAATTAATAGTTTTCTTGTTATACACAACATAGTGCCAGTTATTTATTTAGTTAATAAAAATTTCAATATTTTTCTTAAATTTTCTTATAAGTCATTGTGTTGTTTGTAAGCAACCAACGCTTAAAACATAGATCTCGTGAAAATATTGTGTCATTGGACTTGTTTTTGTACAAGGCCATTCTGTACCGATATTATGTATATATCATAAGAGTATTTTACAAGAGTGGTCAAAACTTTTGGTATAGTTCGTGACATTTTTCAAAGTTTGAAATTTTTCGTGAGCCGCAATGATAACACTGTACTAAAATGCTAACGTAATCTAAATTCTAGGTTGTAAAATAAATATTCTTACAAACCGTGGTACAAATTGATTGTTTTAGAACTTAATATCAACTGTCTATTGAAACTTAACAAATTCGAAATTTGTCTGAGACTTAGAACGATTACCGATTAAATCTAAAAATTTAAAATGAAAAATAAAAATTTTTTCTTATTTCACGAAAACAAACTTTTCTTTGCTCTCTAATATGCAGCAAAAATTTCTGAATATACCCAAAATTTACTCGTCATCCTTCTACAAATTAGTCGAATATTAAAGCTTCAGAAAATAAAATTGATATTATACTTAATGTCATTAATCCTTATCTAAAATTTTATTGGAGTTTTAAGGATAAAAATTAAATTTTATTGATTTCTGGTTTTATTTCGATTTAACTGTATTAAATCGAACCACATTCTACACTTATGTTTGTATGCAAGCACATTTCGGCAAGTATATTTAGGCAATGAAAGTAATATTGTTATTATCCTATACTTAAATATGCCTATCATATAAAATAAGTGTTGTTTTATTTTCGGAAACTCATTTAAGCATTTATTATAGAAAAATCCGTACATAAATATAAAATTTTTCTTAATATCGGACGAAAAATAAATCTTTAAGAATTATGTTCAGTATTAACAAGGTAGTTGAATATTTTTCTATGTTTTAGAAATTTTCTAATTTAAAAATTTAAGTTAAGTCCATTATGATGAAAACAGGAAACTAAATAATATTATGAAACAGATAATAAAAAATTATTTTTCAGATCATATTTAAGATTGAGAATTTGCGGATTTATTAAACTGTAAGCTGCTGTTAACAGAAACAAACGATTGCATTTAATTAAGTATGGTGTTAGGATTAGAAAATATACATAGAAAAATTCGAGTTTGCAACTTGTAATATAGAATTGATTGCAAATTATAATAGAAAATCAATAGCCGGTTTTGTTAAATCAACATAAAATACAAAAAAACGTTTATAATTGCAATGTTATATTAAGATTTTTAAGATAAAAGCAAATTTAAGGTTTAAAGACGTTCGTCCAATTCTATATGATGGTTATAGAAAAAATCACTTTTAATTTTCAAAAGCACACTATATTTAAAGTACGGATATAATTTTGAAAATTGACAAAGAGAAAAATATGATTTTGAAAACGTAAAGAAAATGATAAAGAGTTTTTTTTCTTCTAAAATTAAATTTTCGATGACACTTGTGTCAAAGCCATGCAATCCTATGTAGAAGTGGGAATAAAACATTTTTTATTTTCTTACATGGTGAAGAATTACAAAATTAAAAGTGAAAAATCATCGAAAAACTAAAGAAAAAAAAACGAGAATGAAGTAGAAAAATAAAATTGCAAATCCTCATAAATAATTCTTAATCGAACACGTCGATAATTTTTAATTCTTCTTCAGTTCTTATTCCTTTTTGCCCTCCTACTGCTTTTTTCATTGCACTATTAATTTCGATTTTATTATCATTATTGACTGAGAACGATTAATTTTATTACCACAAGATTTTTTTTTTTAATATTTTAAGACCAAGAATTATGAGAACAAAGAAGAAATTTTGTTTGTTTTCCACATCCCCCCCCCCCCCCCTCTCACTCATCTCGTTTATTTTTTTCGAATTCCGAACGGACAATGAATTTTTGTAATGAAATTCAAATGTATGTATACAAAATAAATTAATCGAATAAAAATGCTAGGTCATTAGATTTGTATTTTGATATAAAATGTGAGACAGGATGACAGGATATCAAAGAATATTTATAAAAATAATGAAAATAATAATAATAATAAAGAAAAAGGAAGGAAGTAAAAATAAACAAAATGAAGGAGAGAAATAAAAAGAAAAAAATAATTGAAGTGAAGCAAATAAAAAGTGATTAGACATGTGGAAATGATGATATTTTTGTATAAAAATGATTGTAACACAAAACACAGATAATATTGGTATGGTAATAGGGTGTAATGGAAACGGAAAATAATATTAAAAATAAATTTATTGTCATGTGAAAGCACTAAAAATTAAGATTTTAATATTTCTGTACAAAAATATGCTGGCACATATTCAGGATACTCAAAAATAACATGTGTGTGTGAATGTGTGTGTGATATGTGCGGATGTTTAAAGAAAATAATGTTCAAATTAAATCGTATAAAATGGGAGGAAAAAACAACTTGATAAGTTTATTTGCTGTAATAAAACATTTTTACAATGTAATAATAATAAAAAATATTTTTACATAGCTGACAATTTTCATTTTTAATTGCTGTTATATTTTACAAAATAACGTTTAATAAAGAAAAAGAAGATTCAAAAGAATTTCTGTCACCTATGCGATTTACATATAAAGTTAAAAATTTTTATAATAAATTTTAAGAATTTATTTTTTGCCCTTTTATACTTGTGCGCTCTTTATTTGTTATATTACGGAATATTAAAATTAAATTATTCAACTGAGTACAATTATTCTTCTAAATAATAAAAAATATCTATGACAATAATAATTGTTATACGTAAGGTGATGGGAAATGAAAATCTTTTTGATCAGAACTGATATTGACAATAGTAGTGTAAAAATTTTTTAATATTACCGAGACAACTACTGACATTTTTTTGCGTATCATTTTATTTCCGGAAGATGTGATCATTGTAGATGACTTTGTTGAATTTTAAAAACTAACAAAAAAATTATTTTATGGGTATAATTTAAATGTAATTAAAAGGACAAGAGTAGCAAAATGGAACGTCCGTACCCTCCGTGAAGCATCAAGGCTTGCACAACTAGGACAACAAATGAATCTCTACAAAATTGACATCCTGGGAATAAGTGGAATGGTCATGGCGAGTCGACTACAGCAAGTGGCAATACCGTAATACATAGTGTAAAAGACACGGGTGGTGAAAGTGGTGTGGGTATAATCAACCGAAAAGTTAAATCGACTTTGGAGAGCTGGAATCCAATTTTTAATCGGATTATTCAGGCCCGTTTCCGCAGTAAAGTCCGACACATCACTATCATCCAATGCTATGCGCCGACAGAAGAAGCCGATGACGAAAAGAAGGATGACTTCTATAACAGCCTCACAACAACTCTGCTTGCAATTCACAAAAGCGATATAGTCATACTGATGGGCGATCTTAACGCGAAAGTGGGTAGCAATAACAGCGGTCTACAAAAAATCATGGGAACACACGGTATGGGGAGTAAAAACAATAACGAAGAAAGACTGATAGAACTCTGCCAGACCTTCGAACTCAGCATCTGCGGTACCATCTTCCCCCACAAAGATATACATAAATATACGTGGTCATCGCCAAACGGGAAGACAAGAAACCAAATCGATCACATGTGTATCAGCCGACGATAGAGAAAATACATGTTAGATGTGAGAAATAGAAGAGGAGCAGACATAAATAGTGATCACGAGCTGCTGACAGGCGATATCAGGCTGAAAATGGAAAGAAAAGGGCACGATAGCAACAGAAACAAACGCTTCAATATACAGAAACTCCAGAACTCCCAAAATGCTTGCAGATATACCAGTAGACTGCTTGAAAACTTACCACTTGATCAAGAACACCCGGACTTGACCACCCAAGGACTTGATCTGGGAAGAAATTGTGACTAAGATTCAAGAGACTGCCGAAGAAACACTAGGTAGAAAACGAATACATCGCAAAACATGGATCTCTGACGAGACTTGGGACCTCATCAATAAAAAAAGAAATGCTAAGCAACTAGCGATCAATGAAAACAACAACAAGTCTCCACAGTACCAGAGCTTAGCAAAACAAGTAAAGAAGGCTACTAGATGAGACAAACGGAGATATCTCAAAAGGATGGCGCCCAAGCGGAGCAACACGCCAACCAGAACAACATGAGTGGCTTGCACCGAATAATTACTAATCTCACCGGGAAAAAAGAAAACACAACCCGCCCTGTCAGAGACCGTAGCGGTAACCTAGAGACAAATGAAGAGGCCCAGATAGAAATATGGAAACAGCACTTCGAAACAATTAGCAACGTAACACATACGACCAGCGAAGAAGTGCATGATAGTAACCCAGTCAGAAGACAAACAAACTTAAGAATTTCTGAAAATCCTCCAAATATTAGCGAAATAAAAATAGTCATACAAAAACTCAAACATAACAGGGCTGCAGGCAGTGATGGCATAATAGCGGAATTACTTCAAGCAGACGCACTAACCACATATGGCCCAGCTGTTAGAACCACATATTTCGCAATGGAAGAAAGGGTTGCGCAGTCATGGAAAAAGGGCCTTATCATCAAATTACCAAAAAAGGGCAACTTGACTCACTGCGATAATTGGAGAGGCATCACACTACTTAACATAGCATACAAAGTCTTGGCAACAATTATCCAGAATCGCTTAAGGGAAAAACTAGAGGAAACAATACGTGAAGAACAGGCTGGGTTCCGCCCGCATCGGAGTTGTGTCGATCAATCAAATACGCTTCGAATCATAGTCGAATAATCAATAGAGTACAGAACACCATTATACATGCTCTTCATAGACTTCAAGAAGGCTTTCGACACAATTAAGCGCGATGCAATATGGAAAGCTTCAAAAGGTAGGGGAACACCAGACAAAATAATCCGCCTGATCCAAGCACTGTACGAAGAAGCCGAGCTCGCAGTATTACACCGAGGGAAAATAAGCGAATTCTTCACCACCCAGTCAGGAGTCAAACAAGGTTGCCCACTTTCACCGCTGCTCTTCACAATCGTGCTAGATAACATCTTGCAACTTGTCTGCTCACAGAGCAGGGGCATAATCTGGAGTCTCACTCAATATCTGGAGGATCTAGATTATTCAGATGAAATCTGCCTTCTGTCCCACAAAATCAGCGACATGTAGAGCAAATTAAAACACCTTGAAAAACTTGCCAAACTTGTGGGGTTAGAAATAAACATAGAAAAAACAAAGGCGATGAAAATAAACTCTACTAGCACAGCCAGTCTGGAACTCAATAACCAACAAATAGAGTTCGTTAGCAGCTTCTGCTACCTGGGCAGCATCATAACACCTGAGGGCGGGGCCCAAGAAGATATAGACAACAGACTGAGGTAAGCAAGAGCGGCGTTCGGTAGACTACAGCCAATATGGAAAAGTAGCCAGATATCCAGAACGACTAAGGTCAGAATATTCCGGTCTTGTGTGAAATCGGTTCTGACATATGGCAGAGAAACTTGGCTAACATCAAAATCTGCCAGTCAAAAGTTGCAAGTGTTCATCAATAGATGCCTCAGAATAATATGCCGCATATTCTGGCCAAGACAGATAAGCAACAAAGACCTCTGGATAATAACAGGCGAAGAACCTATCGGAAGGCAAGTAAGAAGAAAGTGGAAATAGATTGGGCACACTCTAAGAAAACCCGCCAATAATATCGCTAAAATGAGCTTAGTGTGGAACCCGCAGGGTTCAAGAAGACCTGGACGCCCCAGAAACACCTGGCGTAGATCTGTAAAATCAGAACTAGAAAACGCAGGTCTAACATGGAGTCAAGTCAAGCAAATAGTCCAAAATAGAACAAGATGGAGATGTCAAGTGGAAGCCCTATGCTCCCAAGAGGAGTAAGGAGAAAAAAAAAAAATTTTAATGTGATGAATAAATAACCGTTAAGCGAGTGAAAACACTTATGCCATAAAAACATATTCTCTCTAATTAATAAGAATGAATAAGTGAATCCAGTATGACTAAGTTTACTAATAGGACCACTCGGAAAACTTTTAAGAGAGAACATTATTTTTTATTGTTTATGTTAGAATGACATATAAGGTGCTTATCAGCTTTAAATTTTTCCTATCTATTAATAATTCTTATAATATAAGACCTCAATGTAGGCGTATAGTAACTTTTTCATAACATCTTATGACTTTAAACATTAAACAAATTCAAAATTTTCCACCAAGGATTTTAAATTTAACTTTTAATTTTAATGCTTTAAAAAAATATATATTTTGCAGAAAAATCCGAATTCAAGTCAGATTAATGTCATTTCTCCATTATCTGTACTCAAAGATAACATTCATGGCCCATACAAACCGATTAAAAATGTACAACTGTTTGAAGTTTTGAAATATCAGAGAGGTTTATGTGTTAAGGTATTTAGAAAAATTTCGAATTAATGTCGAAAAATCATTTAAGGATATTTTGCGATTAAAATAATTTTGTTTTAAAATTTTGTTAAATACCTAGGTACTTACATAATAGCTTAAAAATAATGTTAATTTATTAAAGTGGGAATTATCTAATGTCAATCTAACTGACATTTTGTTACTTTCACGTAATGAGCTTTAAAAATGTACAGTTATAGACAGCATAAAATCATTAAAAAGTTCATTTATTGACTGTTTTCCTAATTAAAATTAGTAATACATCCTTTTCATGTCAATTTTTTTGTTTTATTTAAGAAAAAAAATAAAGTTGATTCAAACCAATAGTTCGTAAAGAAGCACTTTTCCATTCAATAAGTGAAAATACTGTTTCTAAACACAATCTACTGCCTTATTTGAATTAATTTCAGTTACACACTAAATTATATATAAAACTATTGCATACATTTAGGATGAG